GTGTCTTGCAGGGGTCCCATGTTACCCAGTACCTTCTTTTTGCCCCCTATGTATTTAAAAAAGGACTTCTTGTTGTCCTTGATCTGGGAAGCTAGTCCCAGTTCCATCTCCGCCTTGGCCTTCCTGACTGGCCCCCTGCATCCCTGAGCAACCACAGTATATAATCCTCCCTGGTGATGGCCCCTCCCTTCCATTGGGTGTACGCCTCCCTTTTAGCTAGAAAACATTCCCGGATGCTTTTGGTGAGCCATGGGGGCTTTTGTGCCCTCCTGCCCCCTTTGATCCGTGTATGGATTATCTCCCTTTGGGTTTGGAGGATCATCTTAAGGAGCAACCACTCTTCTTGGACACCTGGCTCCCCTCCCCTCCAGGACCTCAGTGCCCTGACTGTTTTCCGTAGCTCATTGAAGTCCGCCCTCCCGAAATCTAGGGCTGCTGCCTTGCTGCAGGCCTTTGCCACCTTGTGCTGGATGGTGAATTCCTTTGGTTGCCTATACATGTACTCCTTCGCATTCTAATTAGAAGGCATTGGATTAGACTTGTTTTAAAATGGATGTGGGGCGCTTTAAGTAAACCTCATTGAATAAGGTTTAGATAAAGCATCCTGTGACCATTTTTGAATGTGTGGGAGCTGAATACACATGATGCTGCTGCGGCGTTTTAATTAGAACGGCTGACTGGGAGCCACTTTGATTAAAACATCACCCCTCCTTCCCTACCTCTGATGAGCATGTGCATAGGTGCCTTCATGCCTACAGTAGTTAAATATTGGATCATAATAACTGAGTTTGATGGCAAATGTTAAGGCTATTGCGTGATTGGGGTTTAAGGAACACTGTGCAACCTGCAATGCACATCTTGCATAGCAAGTCACATGATTTTGGGAATGGGGCATAAAGTTCCTCAAACCCCAGTTGCTTGACTGCCAACTGCCATCACATGGGGGCCCTGTTATCAGGATCCATGTTTTGCCCTTTAGCATGCACACAAGCTATTAATTTGGTTTGAAGCTGTACGTGGAGATAGGGAACAGCTTCCCTGGATGCCCTGGGAACTTAAAGAAAGTGTTCAGCTGAGGCTTCCAGTTGCATGTCCTCTTTTAAAGGTCCAGGGTGCATTGAGGCTGAGATCTCCCTGCTGTCAGGCTCACTGTACCCCATCATTTGCTGGCACCCCCCGTCTGCCTTTGGGAACTGAGCAGGGGTGCTAGGTCCAGGACCTGAAGCTGCCCCCAACACAGTCCTGCTTGGGAAGGGGTGTCTGTATCCCAGATCCTGGGGCTACCCCATGATGGATCTGTCTATCATGGGTCTTCCCTAAAATGCCACACATTCAATTTAAGGTGTGATAAGAACCAACCACAAATGTTATATCTTATATGTGGAACTTTTTTGTGGCTTTTGGCTATATTATCATACCCTAAATGGGCATTAACTTGTAGCAGGGTTACTATTTATTGTGCAGTTAATATCCTAACCATATCCTAAATATGGTGTGTGTCAGGGCTGTAATGTTCCATATGTTATCCAAATACAACTGTGTTAATGACTTCTGTTTGAGCAGGAGCATTTTTCTCTCTCCCATACTTTTTCTTTTATAGATGCAAGAAACTGTATTTCCAGCTGCAAGTGTGTACAGTTTCATGCACAACTCCTATTTTGGATCTTTTATTTGGTTACATGTTTACAACCAGTGGACATTTTATAGATGTGCTCTGGGAGGCGTGGGTGAGAGGGGGTATTTTAATTAGTGCAGCTCCAAGAGCCATCCTAATTAAAGCACCCAGAGTGTCATGTGTATCAGTGTCCCCGTGCTGACAAATAGTGGCAGGGCACTTTGAACTAAAGCTCTTCAAATGAGCATTAGTTTAAAGGGCCTTGCTGCCATTTTTCAGCATGGGGACACTGATGCACGTGACGCTGGTAATTGCCATGCTCCAGTAGACTCAACTAATCGAGTCTGCGCCAGTGCTCTGTAATTACAGCACATCAGAGCAGCCTCCCTGCACATGTATAGAAGCCCAATATTCCTGCCAATTTTTGGTATTTAGGATGTTGTAAGGTAAAGCAAAACAAAATACAAACCTGAAAACAAGTTTGCCTAATAAAATCTACTAAAACTGACTCAGCATGTTTCATTTTCCTCTCTTTTTTTCCCCTTTCCTTTTGGTTTTTAGGCTGTGGATCTGTTTTAAATCAAAAGGGTGAAGTAGAAATGGATGCTATTATCATGGATGGAAAAAATCTAGCCTCAGGAGCAGTGTCTGCTGTTAAATGTATCGCTAACCCCATAAAGCTTGCTCGTCTTGTCATGGAAAAGGTATGCTGAAAGTTCACTTGAATAAGAAGTCCCTTAGGACTTCATCCCATGCACCTCACTGATTATAGTGTTTGTGTAGTATTTTAAATTGGAATGGATAAAGAAATCAGTAGTAGTGTTGAAGACTGGGCATGAGCGTTAAGTTTTGGGTTTTGTTTTATTTTTAAAGGTTTTTCCATTTTTTTGATGTGCTGATGTTTATGCAGAATTTTAAAAGGTTCTCCCAAACTGATATTTTTCTTAGTCTGTACTTTTCAATTTTCCCTTAGCTAATACTTAAGGCTTGACTATTAACTACATATTTTGTAAATACTGTTTCTCTCAAATCTCCTGCTTGCCTCTGCAGGAAAAAGTCTGGGCAACATACTAGAGAAAGTATTGTAGGAGACAACCCTGAAGTTGAATAGTGACTGTATTATGTGGTTTAATGAATTGTCCTAGATTGCCTTTTCCAGTTCTACGTATGTCAGAAATTCTTAAATTAGATGATTGTCTTGGAAGGGCTAGCACCATGATTTTGTACTTCATAACAGTAAGTGAGAATTTGGAAATAACATACAACTGCTACAAGTCAGTCTTCTCTCCATTAACATGACCCTTTCTGTGCATTTACATTAGTAATTTTTCCCGTTTTTTTTAACAATGATATGGCCACTGTTGGGCAAGTTTTAGTATGGAGTGTGTCATTGTACACAATTAGGTTTATATAATACAATGAATGAAGGAGCTTACATCCTGTCTAAACTATAACTTACACTGTTGATAATACATGGGGCACATGACTTCTGAGGAGAGGCTTAGGGGACTGGGATTATTTAGTCTAGAGAAGACAAGACTGAGAGGGGATTTAATAGCAACCTTCAACTACCTCAAAGGTGGTTTCAGAGAGAATGGAGATGGACTGTTCTTAGTGGTGGCAAATAATAGAACAAGTATGGTCTTAAGTTGCAGCCAGGAAAGTTTAGGTTAGATATTAGGAAAAACTTTCTCACTAGGAGGGTAGTAAAGCACTGGAACAGGTTATCCAGAGGGGTTGTGGGATCTCCATTCTTGGAGATTTTTAGGACATGTCTAGACAAAGCCTTAGCTAAGATGTTCTAGTTAAGGATGGTCCTGCTTTGAGCAGGTGGTTGGACTAGATGACTTCCTAAGGTCCCTTTGACCCTAATTTTCTATGATTCTATAATACTACTGAAGTTCTACAGTGGCTGAAAAGTAGTAAAAATTTGCTCACCTAGATAAATGGATATATTTTTCATGATAATGTAAAATCTTAACTGCTTTAAAGGTGACATAAACTAGAGAGAAAATATTTCTTTGTGTTTATGCTTCACAAAGAATGCTTTTATTTATAGAATTTATGTTTTTAAACTATAGATGATCAAGAAGCTTGTCTGGAAAGGGTTTTTGTAAATATAGAGAAGTGAAGGTCTAAAGGCATGAGAACTCCTACTCTGGTTCTCAGTAGAAAGATAGGTGTTAGGAATCTCCACAAAGCTGTGCTCTGAAATCCGTGTTTTATCATCATCAATTTCATTCACTCAGAAAACAAGTCTTACAATTTTGGATTGAGAATCCTTTGCTTGCTCATTTACTCAGGGTTCATTCTTATTTTTATTTTTATTTATTTACTTTTTTTTTAATGCAACAAATGCTCATAATAGCCCTGGCAAAAGCAGGGTAGACGAGATGGAACATTTTAACACTTTAACTGTAACAACATGCAGAAATGCGCTCTTTCATTTCCTGGTGAAATCTGTTCCTCTGTGTCCAGTTCTCTCCTAACCAAGCTGTCGCAGGGCACTGAAGTGTCCTGCTCCTAAGGAAAGATACAGCTGCCGGTTGCCGGGGCAACCACAGTCAGTCAGCTGACCGGAAGGGGGCAGGGCCTGGCCTATATAAACAGCCTAGGCTGAGGCCAAGCAGGCAGTTTCCCACTAACATCTAAGGGAGAAGGAGCTCTGCTGGAGAGTGCAGCCTAGAGCAGCTTGATGGCCCGAACAGCTTTGGCTCGAGGATACTGGGAGGAGAAAGCCCGGGTAGGAGATTTGATTGATGAGTAGCCAGAGGGCCTGATGGTTTAGAGTTTACGTTTAGCCAGGTGGCTTAGTTTTTGAGTTGTGGCCGATTGACTTATGGTTTTGCTTTGTGGTTACACCAGAGGACCAGGTGAGGCTAATAGGGGTTGGAGGAGGCCTCATTAGGGGCTCCACAGTGGTGTGGGGACCCTGGTGCCAGAGAGGGCACCGCATCTAGGGGTGCGCTGACCCCAGAGCCCTGAGAAGGGGGCACAGTGCATTGGAGGCCAGGTAAGGCTGAGGCCACCTGAGCCATATAGAAATCGTAGACCCGAGGAGGGGATTTAGGGGCCAGGCACGGCTATGGCCACCTGAGCCCCAATTGTGAGGAGCACCAGAGTGGGCACCAGCGAGAAGTCCAGAGAGTGCTTGCGTTAAGACCCACGGAGGGCGCACACAGGACTAGAAGCCCCAGGGAGGGGCGCACAGACTAGAAGCCCCAAGAAGGGAATTTGGGGGCCAGGCACGGCTACAGCTACAGCCACCTGAGCCCCAATTGTGGCAAGGCCCCAGTGCGGGCGGGAATCACGAAGTAAGACCCCAGTGTGGGCAGGAATCGCAAGAGAAGCTAGGGAGTGTTCGTGGGGCGCGGGTAACTGTGAGAAGCCCCAGAGGCAAGAGGGGGCAGTGAGAAGCCCCAGAGGTGAGCCAGGGGGCGCCAGCGAGGGCACCAAGAGAAGGGATTTTGACAAGACAACATCCGGTACATCTGAGAGGCTTGGGGCGTGGTATTAGGGGTGGTAGGAGCCACACGTAGCCCTTGAGGCTTTACGGGGTCCGCCAAGACGGGACACAAACAGGGATACATCAGGGGTACCGTGTCCATCAAAGACGTGGCGGGTGAGAACGAGGGTGCATGGACACCCACTTGGCATGGTAGGGGGCGCTAGGAGAGATCATGGCCACTCCTAGGTCCCCACCTTGTGACACAAGCTTCACATGGAAAACTTTGGGTATGTGGCAGAGCTGTGCCTTGCATTCTCAACCTCTCACCCTCTGCTGGTCACTGTTCCAATTTGAGCAGAAGACTAACTGTTGCCTTTTTTCTAAGCAGAAATTTTGGGCCATGAACACATTTCTATACCTTGCAGACCTCATGTCTGTGGTACAAGGATGATTCAGGCTATTAGTATGGCTGCTCTGTTCACAATACCTATCCTGCACAGCTTTACTAAACAGAGAACCTTAGTGGGATAGCATCTCACCAAGGTGAATTTTACTCATCTAATTTTGCACTAATCTACCTACTCTGAGATCACACACACTGTTTTAATTGGACTCTATAGAAGATAAGAATTTTAGCTGCTTTTTCCAAGGGAGTCTGATATTATTTATGTATATACATTTTTTCTTTGTATGAACTGGGATGTGTCTTGAAATGCATAAGAAATGAATTGGGGGGGGGGATTTTCAAAGGAATTTCAATAGAAGTTGGGTGCCTAAATCTATTAAATTTAACAAATGCAGGCTTAATAATAAAACAGCAGCTTGTTATTATCTGTTTCACTTCTGTTTTTGGGCTCCATCTGCTGGCCAAAACTACACTTTTGGCTCCTTACAGCAAACATGGGCATCAGTTTTCTGTCTTTTGGGCTAAACTTTGCCAAATGCTATAGTGGTTTCCACATTTTGGATGAAAATAAGAGTACCAGAATAACTCACTTATAGCTTACTGGAAGGCAACTTAAGTCTCTAGAGGTGAAGACCTTAGTACATTAATGTACTGAGCCAAGAAGTCCTTTAGAAAGCAGTTCCTGTTAAATTATTTCTATTTGTAATGGACAGAAATAGAACACTGATGTATGGCTGGTTCTTATGTGTGGTGGGAGGAAGGAAATGGGAAATATCTCCTAGGCTTTCAAAGCAGAGGGAAGAAAAAAAATTCAGACAGGCAAAGATCCAGTGAAGGCTGGACATGCATATATATTCCAATGCCTGAATTATTCTGTTCCCTAAATTAGCTAAAATTAAGAACTCTATTTAGAAGGTAGACATGATAATTTTCAGTTATTTTTGTATAGTATGTGTGAACTCCACTGGGTCAGAGAATACCCAATATTATTATTATTTTATTTTAATATCCAGCAGTGTCTCATCTGAATGTTACCTGCTGTTGGTTATCAACACATAATCAGTCTCTTACCAAGGTGCTACATATTGAAGAAAAAGAACCTGTCATGCAGTCCTAGTAAAAACTAGCTCAAAAGAATGAGCCATTGTGGTGATTTCACATGATGACAAAGTTTCTTGGTTTCAGAATGTAATATAAGGACATAAAGGCATCACACGAATAGTGTGTAATAAGAAAACCTGATGGGGGAGGGAGAGCTGTTGTGTATAACAAGTTTTCTAAGCATGAAATAATTCTTCAGTTTGAGTGTCTTAAGGTGAATTTGGGCATTCCAGTAAACTTGACTTGAGAGAATTTCTGTTCACTTTTAAATAAATAAAATGAGGTTTTTGTTGCCTGTTTGTTTTATACTAACTGAAAGATGGAGTTGATGTAATGGAGTGGGTTTCTTAAATACACAAATACAAAGACAAACAGGTCTGCCTTTCTTCTATAACACTGAGGTGTTGGATAGCAGCTGGCTGGTGGTTTAATAATGAAGGCAGAGGGGGGCAGTATTGCATAAAGAAACCTTTCTTCCAAATGCAAGAACACTTTGTCTTTGTTAGAATACACTGGCTTTATTCTTCTCCTTCCCTACAAATGTTAAAATGCTTCCAGCATAGATATGTAATCTTTTATTTGGTAACATCACTTATTATAATTGGTAATATATCAGATTTGTCCACGGTTTCAAAGACCCAGCCTTCTTGGTCTCATTCTGACCTGTTGTGGTCTTCCTGAGTTCTTTGCAAAACAAGAATCGCTTTATTAGCTTTCACTAATTTTTTGACCGTTGAAAAATAAAAGCTGTCGTCTTATGAGGGATGTCTTGGGTTTAGAACAGCTGGTTCTGAACAACTGTTTTAAAGATTTAGATATTTTCAGAAGAGAAGAAAAAACACTTTTTACTTCCTTTTTTTTTTATTTAAACAAATCTTTAACCTGCTAGAAAATTGCAGAGCTTGTAGCGAAACAGAGTGACTCCATGCTATACTGAGTAAATATATGAATTGGGAAAGTTAGAGGAGGAAAAAATGGTTTTAAACTCTTCATTTAGACCCTGGCATATCAGATATTTAAACACGTACTTAATTCTAAGACCACGTGCTTTAGCCATGTTGACTTCAATATCATTAAAGGTTATGCTTCAGTGGATTAGTAAGTAGAAGCCCTAACTTAGTCAGGAACAGTACTTGGACCTTTGCCAAATGCAAATATTATGGGAAGAGAATTTGAGTTAATTATCAAATTAATAGTATATGCATATCTACTATTAATGTTACCTGCTGTTGGACCTGGGCCTAGGTTGACCAGCAAATATTTGTGAGCATCATCTGAATGCAAGTATAATTGCAATCTTTACAAGCTATAACTAGACTTGGATGGAGGAAAAAATATCTGCAGTTAAGCAGTTTTAAAACTCCTTCAGTGACCTGTTCGTATCAATGTTTAGATAAACTAAGTGTTGTTGGTTGATTGGAAGAGTGCTAAAAAATTATATCTAGAATCACATTAGCAGCACTGTGTGTGTATAAATCTTACCTATTTCAGCAAGAATTAATGTCTTATCCCTTTTCCCTTGTAATAAATATTGCATAATAGAGATTATTATTCTCTTAATTAAATTGTTGGTGTCTGCTTAATAGAATTCGTAGTTCAACCAGTAAAAATATAGGCAAAAAAATTCAAGCCTTTTCCCACTTAATGGAAGCAGGATTAAGATCATACTCATGCTTTATTTTCCTATTTAGCAGGATGTTAAAAACAGAATTTTCTTTGTGTAAATGAGATGTTTACATAAAACTGTACACAGTAAGTCAAGGCACAAACACAGTTTTTTTCTGTCCCCATCAGACCAAGCACATGTTACTGGCTGATTACGGTGCACAATGTTTTGCCAAGGCCATGGGTGTTCCTGAGATTCCAGGGGAGAAGCTCATAACAGAAAGGTCCAGGGAAAGATGGATGAAGAACCTTGAGCCAGATTCTAATCCTCATGCGTTTCAAACGTAAGTATTCACAGTGCTAATTATCTAAGATTCATGTAGTTTCAGTATCAAAAATAAATGTTCCATGTGTAAATGTTTCTCTAATGCTTCTCCAAAACCACTCACTTACAGATGAATTTTTAGATAGTTGGATGAAACCAATATCTGGCCTGAATCTAGCTTTCCCCCTCCACCTACAGACGTGGGTCACCTCCTCAGTCCTGGAAGTGCTTTAAGCTTAGGCTTGGTTATCTCTCAAGACCCATTTTAAAACATTCAGCTTCAGGTTTTTTTGTAGGTTTTGCTGTTCTAAGATCTTCTGGGGGAAAAGCATTAGTACTCTACAAATATCCTCATTTAAAGTCTCTACTTAAAAAAAGAAAAAGAGACTAACTCATCTGTCATTTGGACTCTGGTATGGTCTGCGACCAGAATGTTGGCACTGCAGTGCCTTACTAAATAGATGGTGGTGGTGCTAAGTGTGCCTATATCTGCTGCTGTGGTAGCACTGCCCTCAGTACTGATAACATCAATATAGCTGCCATTTAAATTGAGTGCTTCACTGCTTGTCATGTCAGTACCTTTTAACTCTCACACTCTCTAGTCCAGGACTAATGCTAATTTTATTGTGTTGTTAATTTATTGTTACTACATAGTGCTTGGAAGGTTTACAGATTTCTAGATTTCTATAAAGTCTAGAATCCCTCTTGATTGAGATTTCATTTCCTTTTATTGGTTCCAGTTGTTATCTTATAATAACTTCAACTTCTGTAATTCAGCATAATTTTTTTTTCTTCATTAGAATAATAGTGTTCAGGGATTCATGATGAAGCTATAGTTTCCTGTGCTGGGTCTCAGACAATTTCAAGACTTACCAGAATTTACTGAAGTGGACTGAAGTTCATATTAAAAAAACTCAGGAGCTTTTTCATAAGCTAGGTGGGTATTTTCCCCAGTAGTGTGCCAAAAGATGTAGCATTTCCAGGCAAAAATATCTTAATGAACCTTGCCAAACTTTTATAGCGGACTCCTACCTCTTTCTCAACTTAAAAAAAAAAAAGAATAATTCTTGTCATTTTTTAAAGTGCAGAAAATTTCTACACGTACCGAATTCCAGGCTAATTATCAACATTAAAATGACATAAGAATAAAAATGACTGGATTTATTTGGCTGTACATTATTTTTCGGTTACTCAATTCAGCATATGAAATTACCATTTTGATTGTTATTTGTTTTCTTAAACAAAAACAAATGATCTTACCCTGGAAAAAATTGTCTGTAATAGAGAGGATGTTAAACTATCAATTTCAGGACAGCTAATTGTGAGGATGTTACTCCTAGCAGCTCTGAAAGCAGTAGATTCAGCAGCCTGTTTGATGGGAACTTTAATGACAAAGGTGCATCAAACAACTAGCATTTAAAGGTTCCAATCTGTAAGTGCCTAACTAATTAAGGCCCTTAATTTCCCAAAGGTCTTCACCACAAATCAGTGATGGCACTTTCTATCAACAGAGCTCTTTTGAGCCATCTAAAAACCTTGCAAAAAAAAAAAAGAACATCTGCCTCTGCATACCTACACTTCACTTGCTACACAGCTCCTAAACATTGATTTTTCAGGAATAGACATAGTTGGATCATATTCCACCCAGTTTCTGCTTCCTTACCCAGCCCATTCTCCCATCTCTAAAAAAAACTTACTGCACTGAGTTTCTCTTCTGCCTCTTTGAGGAAGAGAAGGGGTCCTTCCTTAGTTTCAAGCCAGTGTAGCCTACTTCAGTACTTCTTAATAACAAGGTTACTTGCAGATATTGGAAAAAAACACAACAAAAAACCTGTCCTTTGTTTTGCTTTAAACTCAGTGTGCTCCTGTGCCAAGTCCAGCACATGCCCAGAAGAGGTAGTATGTTAATTGGACCCGACTCACCCAATGTCTCTGTAGATCGCGTGCTTTACTAGGGCTTTCTTTGGTGTTTTTATCTAATAGCTGATTGAATCAGCTATTAAATAAAAGTGCCAAAAAGCCCTGCTGAAGCACCCAATCTATACAGGTGCTGCGGAGCCCAGTCAAACTAATGCAGTGCTGCTCCAGTAAAGCACACTTTATTTTAACATCTCTAAGCAGCCAAAGAAGAATAGAACTTCTCATTCTGGACCTGAAAAACTTTAGCATTCCTCTGACGTTTCAAATTTAGTATGGTCACCTAGCATCCATACTCCTAAATCTAGCTCAGCATGATTGGTTTGCAACTCTTGATTTACAAGATTCATACTTCCATAGCACTATATATCTAATGAACAGAAAGTATTTATGCTTTCAATAGAATGAAATCATTTCCAATGAAAGATCTTCTCTGTAACAGCAAAGGCTCTTACTAAGATTCTTGTGGATTCCATATGATGGCTGACCTTTTTATTCAGCTGCATTTCAAGTTCTTACTGTGATGTGAGGGGGGTTTTTGAGTCTGCTGAAGCATGTGCACTTTAATGATGCACACAATGCATGTAAGGTTGGTTTAAGTATATATCTCAGGCAGACATCTGGACATGGCCTCTGAGATTCTTGGATAACCTTACTAGAGCTTCACCTTAGGGAAGCCTACTGTGGTTAATCCAGTAGTAATGTGAGATTCAGTTTTTCTACTATATTTAAGTATGAGGCCTCTCTCTTTTCATAGGAAGTGCATCCATCAGAACTTGGAGAGGTACTTTGTCCTACAATATTTCCCAAATTTAATGTGTTGATCAAACCACATCCTAAATTCTTACCCAAAGTAATTGATTCTTTTTATCCCATATTTGTTTCTCAGACTTCATCCAATGAGGGTTGAAATCCCTCTGTATCAAGACTTTCACTATCCACCTTTTTGGTTTAGGTTGCTACTTCTGAATGGCCAACACTAGAATATATTTAGTCAGAAATGTAATTTATGGACAAACACTCAAGGATAAGTTACTTAACCTATAATGTATCTGGAGTTACTGGAGATGCAATTTGTACATAAACTGCAAAATCTGCCCTCCTTCCTTGCTGTTTTAGAGTCCTAAAACATCCAAATTTGGCAGTGAAGGGACAAAGTAAGTGTGGGTGGCTGTGGCCTTCTGTGTAAAAGCATAAGACTAGTTGAGGTTCATGTGTAGTTCCAGTCAACACTGCTATTCATAAAACATAGGGTCTAAACACAACAGGTTTGAAATGTATATTTACTACACAAATTAAAGAATCCCAGTTACTGTATAGCTAAGTAATGTGCCTTTGTTGCATTTAACTAATAGGGGACAGGAGGATAGTGCAGAGCATTTTAGGACTGTGGCTAAAAAAATGCTAAGTAGGCTGACTTCTACTTGATGGGGAACAATTTGGGGGGTTGAGTGTAAGCATGTGTTGATGTAAATAATTTCATAAGTGGGATACCTATATGTCTTTACTCCAGAGGAAGGTGGTAGTGTAGGTCTCACAGCAGTCCACAGAGACTGCTTTCTGATTGGTTCTCCATGACTCTGTTTTGTCTTATTGGGCAAGTGTTGTCCCCAGATTAATACTGAGATTTTGAAAAAACAAAAAAGTGTGGGGAGGATGACTGAATTGTGCCCAAGGAAAGAGAGTGAGATTCTGGAGGAGATGGAAGAAGAAAGCAGTCCTAGGTAAGACAGAGACAGTCTAAGGGAGGAAAGAGTTGACAAAGAGGAGGAGTGAGTAGTCGCAAGGAGAACAGTAGAGGGGAAAGCAATAGTCTCTGGGAGAACAAGCAGACTCCAAAGAAGGACAGAAGGAACTGCAGTGGCACAATAACGGTTGTTTGTCTGGAACTGAGGTGTCCGCTGTGCTGTTTGAGATGTCAACACTCAACACCCTCTTGTCCCCCTTTTTGAAAGGGGAAACACTCCTATTCTCAGGAGCTTACCAAAAAGAAGGAGATCTTTGATGTGGGAGTGCTATGGATTGCCAGGGAATCCAGGGACAGAGAAGAGCCAGGGTCTCTAAGGCAGAGGCTTGCCCCTTGTGAAGCTCCTAGGGCTGGCTTCAGGGTGTCTTTTGGGAGAAAGACTGCATAAGGCTTTTTCTTGAGGAATCCTGAGGCAGAACTTCCTCCTAAAAGCAGTGAGATTCATGACAGTTGCATTCAAAAGGTTTCACAAACAGGAGAACTAAGAACCTTTTATTTCCAAATGAAAGCTTTCATGCTGTACAAGATGAACATACTGTGGGGGGGATCAGATAAGTGTTTTATGTATGACTTTGATCTGTGCTGTTAACTCTGACAGTGCCAGTCTTATTACATATTGCATATTGTGTGAAACTCCTTACATTAAAAACATGGTGATGTGAAAATGACATTATTTTGGTGTCAAAATTCACAATGTTAAATTTTAGTTTTGTCATGATCTTGTATTTTTGAAAAACTAGCTGTGGAATGGACACAATATGCTTTGGCATATATTCTTAACTCTACCTAATTTTGGAATTTGTTATTCTTGGCAGAGACCTTGGAACAGTTGGTGCCGTTGCTATAGACAGTGAAGGAAATGTAGCTTGTGCAACATCCACTGGGGGACTCACTAATAAACTGGTTGGCCGTGTTGGTGATACAGCATGTATAGGTAAGGTAAAGAAAAGTGTATTGTTCTTAGTAGAGCTACTCCAGTTCTTTATTTATTTGTGTGTGTGTGTGTGTGTGTGTGTTTATATATATTAGTATTTATTTAAATGATATATTGACCTGGGTGATCTAACGTGTTATGAACATATCAACACTGCAGACAGGTCCTTAATGTAACAAATGCATTTGTTATTCAGCTTTTTTAACTTAGAAATAGAAGAATTTTATTTTTCTCCTTCCCCTGGAACCCTAACTCAGTTAGGTCTGAGTATTCACTTTCAGGTCCCTTTTCACAAATCCAGTATCTAACCTGCTTTTGGACTTCAAGGCAGGCAAAAGTTCAGCCTTTCTTCCTTCAAGGTGCTATCTGTTAATTATTCAGATCACTTCTAATCCAGGAATCTTTCAAAGAAAGAAATCACAATTAATAAAGAATGGGACTAGATGTTTTTTCCTTTCCCCTTATTTCATTTTAATCAGATGCAGTTTCAGCTTTGTCATTGGAGTTACATTATATCAAAGAGGAAAATTTCAGACAGAGGTCTCAAAAGTGACTTAAGTTGCCAGTCATTTTAATTTAATGCTTTGAATCTTTCAATATGTTCTTGTTCATTAAAAGCCACAAATCTCACTTGAGAGCATGGCAGGTGGGGACCAGACAAAACATAAAAAATGACTCATTTCTATATAAAAAGGCTTGAAATCCCTTCCCCAGCAAGTTTCTCTCATGAGGCAGACTCGCCCCAAGGCTCGCCTAGTGTCCACGTCCAGATGAGCATGGACATGCAGTATGTGGCACTGCAGACCTGTCTGCGGCATCACATACCACACATACAGGCATTTGCTGCATTGCTACCGTGGAGAGTTTTTTGACCCCAGGAGGTGCCAAAGTCCAAAAAAAACCAAACCGAAAAAACTTGGGGCAGCACACATGGTAGCAGTGTGCACTGCCCAAAACCAGAGCCTGAATGGCCGGAGCCACACTCTGGTGGCTGGCCAGGCTTTCTGCTGTGGCTGCAGTCCTGGGAGGTCCCCAGGACCCCAGGTAAGGCTGCTGGGGCCAGCAACTATGCATAGTTGCTGGCCCCAGTCTCCCCTACCTCACCCGGGGCACCCTGCTGCATGCTAGAGCACACATGGCATGGGTGTGCCACTGCTATTTGTTCAGTGCCACAAGGTGTCTCACTGCAACTTGTCCCTGCTCATCTGGATGTGGCTAGTGATTTCTTCGTGAAATTTTCATAGACCTGGAATCTGGAAAACTTGTAATTATTTTAGAAAAATATGTTCCAAATTCAAACAGCTCTCCTAGCAGCAGCTGATCAGGAGAATAAGAGCAAGCACTTCCTTCTGTAGCAAACCTATTTTGCCAGCAAATATTTTGATACCTATTGATTGGATTTTCAGTTTGCACTTCAGTTGGTTCAGTTGCTGAACCAAGGCTTCTTCTCAACATATCATAAATAGCGTTTTCCCTAAGAATTTTTCATCCCCCGAAGGGTGCTGAGGGAGTTGGCTGATGAGATTGTAGAGCCATTAGCCATCATCTTTGAAAACTCATGGTGATCAGGAGAGGCCCCGGATGATTGGAAAAGTGCAAACATATTTAAGAAAGGGAAAAAGGAGGATCCAGAAAACTTCAGAACAGTTGGCTTCACCTCGGTCCCTGGAAAAATCATGGAGCAGATCCTCAAGGAATCAATTTCTAAGCACTTGAAGAAGATGATTAGGAAGAGTCAGCATGGATTCACCAAGGGCAAGTCATGCCTGACTAATCTGATTGCCTTCTCTGAGATGAATGGCTCTGTGGATGTGGGCAGACCTTGATTTTTAGCAAGGCTTTTGATACAGTCTCCCACAACATTCTTGCAGGCAACCTAAAGAAGTCCAGGCTGGGTGAATGGACTGTAAGTTGGAGAGAAAACTGGCTGGAGCATTGGTCTTGGAGGGTAGTAATCAATGGCTTGATGTCAGGTTCACAGCTGGTTTCAAGTGGAGTGCCTCAGGGGTCAGTCCTGGGGCCAATTTTGTTCAGTCTTCAATGACCTGGCAGATGGCATAGAGTGCGCCCTCAGCAAGTTTACAAATGACACCAAGCTGCAGGGAGTAGTAGATACTCTGAGGGGTAGGGCTAGGATTCAGAGTGACCTAGACAAATTGGAGGATTGGGCCAGAAGGAATCCCATGAGGTTCAAAAAGGACAAGTGCAAAATCCTGCACTTAGGACAGAACAATCCCATGTGCCAGTACAGGCTGGAGGCTGATTAGCTGAGCAGCAGCTCTGCAGAAAAGGACCTGGGGGTTACAGTGGACATTAACCTGAATATAAGCCAGCAGTGTGCCCTTGTTGCCAAGAAGGCTAACAGCATCCTGGGCTGCATTGGTAGGAGCATTGCCAGTAAGTCAAGGGAAATGATTATTCCCTGCTATTCAGTTCTGATGAGGCCACATCTGGAGTACTGTGTTCAATTTTGGCCACCCCACTACAGAAAGGATGTGGACGAATTGGAGGGAGACCAGCAGAGGGCAACAAAAATGGTGAGGGGGCTAGGGGACATGATTTATGAGGAAAAACTGAGAGAACTGGGCTTAATCTATATAAGAAGAGACTGAGAGGAGATTTAATAACAGCCTTCAGCTACCTGAAGGGGGGTTTGAAAGAGGATGGAGCTAGACTGTTCAGTGGTGGCAGATGACAGAACGGTCTCAAGTTGCAGCAAGGAAAGTTTAGGTTAAATATTAGGGAAAAAGTTATCACTAGAAGGGTAGTAAAGCATGGGAACAGGTTACCCAGAGAGGTTGTGATATCCCCGTCTTTGAAAGTTTTTAAGACAAGGCTAAACAAAGCTTTGGCTGGGACAATCTAGTTGGGGGTGGTCCTGCTTTGAGCAGGGGGTTGGACTAGATGACCTCCTGAGGTCCCTTTCAACCCTAATTTTCTATGGTTCTGTGATTAGTATAACCATGTCTTGTGATGAGAGATACTTTTACCATTATAATTATCTTTGAATTAAAGAAAATTGAAGGAGTCAAACTGAGAAAATGACTCAATTCTCCAAAGTGCCTAGACACAACTCCTACTTTTAATTGCCCTGAATCAACTTTAATTTTTTTTAAAGATGTAGTTCAGTGAGTGGTAGTTTTTATATGAGCATTTTGTTAGGATATAAATTAGCTGTAGAATCTGAACTTTTGTGTTGTTCGTGAAGTGACCTCAAGGATCTTATTCCAATCCTCTGTAATGATGCAGGATTTACTGTTTTTACCCTACCCCAGGGTTTCTCTACTGGTGGGACACATCCCATTGGTGGGACATGAAGGTCCTCTAGGTGGGACTTGGGTCATGCCACAGTGGGACTTCCAGTTTCACTTTTGCACGCGCGTTTCGATTGACTGCTGAGCGTACTTCCTTACCCCACCCCCAGTGCGCTGTTCGACTGGTCTCGGCAGGGACCCGCCCCACCTTGTTGACCAGTGGGACCAGGATTTTTTGACCTTGCATAGGTGGGACGTAAGGTGCAAAAGGTTGAGAACCACCACACTACCCCATGCAGATACCCAACCAACCTTTCCTTGTAAATCTTCATGGAAGGAGAATTCACAACCTTCTTAGGTAGCCTGTTTTAGTGTCCTACTGTGTGTACAATTAGGAAGTTTTCCCAAGATTTGTTTCTCTTTGCCCTTCCCCCTCTTCTTTCTCTGGTTTTTTTAATCTTCTTTATGATAACCTTTTAACTATTTGAAAACTAATATTATGTCTGTCCTGCATGTCCTTTCCACCATAGTTAAATCTATTACTTGATCCAGTAGGAAGGAAAAGTTACCCTGGGGCTCCCCTTGATCACTGCACCCTTTTTAATGTGCCAACAAGCTTGAGAGCTGCTCTCCCCTGCGTATTAGCATGCCATCTGTCTTATTTCCTAGCTAGCTCTTGCATTGTGTCTGTCCATTGGTCTTCACATTCCTACAGTGTTCTTTTCCAGCCAGTTATTTGTTAGTGCAGGCACAGCTAACTCCTTCTTAGCACCTGATCAGCTACCTCCCACCGTTGCCAAAGTTGCCTTGCTGCCCTTTCCTGAATCCACCTGCATCTTCTCTTTTGAACAGGAAACTGTATTCATCTCTCTATCCTAATCTCTAGTTCCTTACTTTTCTTCCTTCCCCATTGCATACTATCTTTCCAACCCTTATATCTCAACAATCAGCCTCTTCCAGCTGTTGCTAATTTCTCTCATATATTCTGTTGCTGAAACCATATTAAAAAAATCAGAAAAAAAATATCACGTTACCTTAAACTGGTTTTGCCTCCCCAGAAGTCAACAGAATTTCCAGAAGTTGACTTGTAACTTGAAATAATAAATTTCTGAATTTTACCTGTTTTGATTTTTTTTTTTTTTTTTTTTTTTTTTTTTTTTTGTTTTTTTTTTTTTTTTTTTTTTTTTTTTCTTTTTTTTATCTTTTTTCTTTTTATAAATGAGGATCCTGGTTTTTTTCTGTTTAAAAATTGCAGATTCCCCCGGGAGTGCGCACAGTGCTGGGGAGTCAGCCCTGCCCCCCAGACAAGCCACCCATGGCTCTGTCTTGTTCCCCACCAGGGCCCTGTGGCTGCAGATTCTGGCCCGGTGCCCCAAGTCCCATGCACCGCCCGGCTGGGCAACAGCCCTAGCCCTGCCTAACTCCCTCCCTATGGGGGGCCTTAATCCTTCCTCCCCTCCACCAGCTCCCGCAGGTTTATCTGCAGGAGTTGCTCTCCATGCTGCCTGGTGGCCTTGTGCACATGTTTGCACAGATATACACGTGGCAGCCCCTGCCTGTCCTCCTCCCACTCCCCCAGTCCCTTGCAGGCTGAATTCTGTCAGCCTGCAGAGAGATCTTTGCAAAAGTGAAACATCTGCATGTTTCTCCGTTAATTAAAATCCATATGTTTTTTGGGTAAAAGGGGAAACCCATGATTTTTTATGTTTTTCTGTGAGAAACGGAAAACCCAGTTCCCTGGTTATAAAGCATGGAGAAGGGTCACTTAAGTTATGTTTTTTTTTCTTTCCCTGTGTTCTCTGAGCAGGAAGTGGAGGTTATGCTGACAACCATGTTGGTGCTACTTCCACCACAGGCCATGGAGAAAGCATTATGAAGGTGGTTCTAGCACGATTGATCCTGTATCACATGGAACAAGGTATAATATAAATTCTGAATGAAGGAAGGTGAAGTTGGAACTCTCACCAAACGTTCACAACATCTAAATTATTCTCTTGGTGTTGCAGTTTTTCCCAGAAGTTTTTGGTTGAGTTATTTCTAAGAACACAAAATTATTAGTAAGAGTAATAAAACTGTAAACCAGATAAATTTCAACTGTCTAATTACCAAAAATATCCTTACTGCTCAAGTCTGTCACATTTTAGATGTAGTATAACAAAATGTCATTAACTATGTACATTATTTCATGTTTGACCTTTCTTAAACAAATAACTCCCTTTTTAAGCAATAGCTTCATGAGCAAAGAGTTTGAAAACAAGCAAGGAGGAGAGAAATACTAGAGTTCTGTAACAAAAAAAGGATATTCAGATTCTGTACAAACAGGTTATAACAATAGGATTAAATAATGGCTCATAGCAAAAGACACGCTTTGAAAAACACTTTTTGTATTTAAAAAGAAATGAATATGACTGAAATTTAATTTTGTTTTGGAAAGTATTTTGAACTGTATGTTAGGTAGACTCTGTGCTATGTGGTAAACAGCTGACATGGAGTGTCTCATGTGACTGTAACACAATCTAACTGCGGGTGACCCTTTCAAGCTTTACCTTCATGAGTTGGGATGTCATTGAAACCCTTGATTATGTTACATCCTGTAAACCTAGCAAAAGCACCATACTTATATTCCATGCAGTTATAAAACCATTAATATAGACATCACTACTACTTTTAGATAGCTGCACTTTACAGATGTTACAAACATCTACTTAACTTCTGAGATTCTTAACAGAATCTGAATGATGGTAGAACACTTGTAATTTACATATTTATTAGAGAAACATAAAACAGGAAAGCTAGTAACAGCTGAGAAGATTTCTATACCGATCACGTGTTTTATTCATGTACACTATTCGCAGTTAACTCTCTTGACTTGGCCAAAAGAAATAAGGTAAAAGCATAAAATATAAGATCCCATGCAGGTTATGTGCCTTCTTAAAGACTTTATGTACCACGACTTCACCTCTGTCATCTATTCATTCCTTTCATGTGTAATGCCCCAAACTTTAATTTACTGTAAAGAACTATGGGCCAGCTTCTTTTCTCACTGTCACAAATTTTGCAATGGAGAAAGAAATCTCATTAAACCTATTTCTCACCACTGCAATCACTTCTTTAAAATATATATGTATTTCTAAATATTTCCTGGGGGAAAACGTTCTCCATACCCTGAAGAATAATCCTACTGGCAGGCAAATACCACAATGGACGGGTCCTTTGTCCCTTAAAGAAGGGGCCAAAATTAATCCCACAAGTCATTGCAACTTTGAGTTCTAGAGCAGTCCACAGAAGCAGCATATTTAGGAATAGTGAAAATTCCTAAATTATCATTTAAATAATCTTATTTTAGGACCATTCCGGCAGGGCTTCAGTCACATGAGCAGCGTATGTTCACATGAGTAGTTCCAGTGATTTTTAGTGAGGCTACATACACAAGTAAAGGACTACAGTGTTTTGCATTAACACCCATGTGCAGGGTAAAATTTACAAAAGAACCTACCTTGCTGACAGAGAGGCATAAGCTCTTAAGTGTTTGATTCATTTTTGAAAATTAGACCTAGTCTCCAAAGAGAATTTGAAAAATGCCCTCCTCATTACCTATATTTGGAAGAGAAATAATGTATGTAATAGCACTCAAGATATGTGTAACGCAGCCTGGTCGCCCCTCAACACTTTTCATTTGTAAAAATCACTTTAGATTCCTAGTATTTGAAGGATTTCTTGGAGCAGTATGCTTTGTTTCTACAATTAGATTGATGCAAATTCAGTTAATTCTTGTTACGTATAAGCTGTGAACTGTTGTCAAAATCTTAACATCTATTGGAATTTTTGCCTTGTGGCAGCAGCTGTTGCCTTGATGAAAAGTCATAGAGTGAAATCCTGACCCTGTTCTAGTCAGTAGCATTAATTTCAATTGCCAGGATTGCACCCATAGCTAAAATGATAAGAGTCTCAGCCAGCCAGTGTAACAAAGATTGCGAATACATTCCATTCTGTTCCTCTCCACCCCCCAAGTTTGAGGGAAGGCTTCATGCATATCACTAGTAGGAAATGTGCACCCTACCGTATGTAACACCATAGCTGATTTGGTATGAAGACTGAGTACCATTGCATTTCTGGACAAAAATTCAGGGCTAAAGCTTATACATTAGAGCCTAATAGCTAATACCAGACTTCTATGTATGACGCAAACAATACTTTCAACTTGTTTATAAAATGTTCTGATTAGTAAGTGTGGTAAAAAATATCTGTTAGCTCCTGGTGTCTTTGTATAGTCCATTCAGCCTTATTGTCACAAGCATAGCTTAACCACCTACAGATCCTGCAATAACATCACTTTCCAAATTACCAAAATTAATACCATACCTAAATTTATACTTTCTGAGCTCTTCAGTGTTCTGTGGGTTTATGACTGGGGCAATGTATTTATGATCATGAACTTGATGGACAAATTTCATGTCAGGCTTCTAGCAGTAATCTTGCAGCACACTGAGTGTAAACACCCACAGAAAACACAGCATGTCACTGAATTATAAGGTTGATCACTTACTCTACTTCAAAGATTGAAACCTGTGAATAATTTGAAGCTACATAACTGCTGTGCTAAAGTAATGCAATTCTTTTGCAACTGTTCACATCCTTCACATAAATGAAGTATTTCCCTCATCCCTGCTCTACTTGTAAATAGTTGGCATTTAATAAAGGAAGAAAATAGTCTGGAACTGGTTCTTCATAGTGTTTGAAGTTTGAAGGAAGTTTTGCATGGATTTCTATGGGAGCCAGAGGCAGGTTTTACGTAACTGTTAATCTTATGTTCTTGTTTTCAGGAATGTCACCAGAGGAGGCTTCTGATACTGCTTTAAATTGCATGAAAACAAGGGTGGGAGGATTGGGAGGTGTCGTTGTTGTCAGCAGTTCAGGGGACTGGGCAGCAAGGTTCTCCACCAAGCAAATGTCCTGGGCTACAGTGAAAGATGACCAGTTGTATTATGGCATTTACACCGGAGAGAGGCTTACAAAATCCTTTGAAGAAGCACTAACGTCTGAAGGATTTTGAAGATGTAGAAGTTGACTGCAGAGCAAAGTAAAGTCTTGGTGCAGAGACAACTGATGTCTTTTTCAGAAAAGATTTAACCCTATTAAATATTTGAAGAACTCACCATGGTTTGTAAGCAAACAGATTTAGACAGAACGAATCATGGCTCTGGATATTTAAATGTCTCTGAAAGGCACAGGGTTAGAATATGGGCAAGCGATGCATGAAAGTTTCCCCAGTTTTCTGGTTAGTGCATCAGCCCTACATTAGAGACAGGCAGTGTCAGAATGAGAGAGGAATTCATCTTCATTCTTAATCTCTGAGACTTCCAGGTCAAGTGATGATGCTGCAGTGAGGTAAACACCTGGCAATTAAAAATTGAACTTTAACAGCTGCTTCTCTTCATTGAGAAGTAGGATTTGTTTATACAGATTATTGAACCAACTATATAGTTAGGAGAGATGTTAGACAAGCTTTTTAGCACAAAATCCTCTTACTCATTTTAGAAAAGAAACAGATGCAGCCTAAGCTAAATAGTAAGTAAAACAAGAACTGTACCAAGGTCTTTGAACACCCATCATTTGGTGACAGCTGTCAACTGAGCTACATTTAGACTACAGTATAAAATTTAAGACTACATCATTATCAAAACCTTGGAATAACAAGTCCTTAATCATTTAACCAGGAAAAAACATAAAGTTCCTGCCTCAAGGGAAATCTGACACTCAGAAGCTTTAATGTATTTGTTAGTCTTATGGGGGAGGGGGGAAGCCACAAACTAAAATTAGGTGGGGGAGAATTTTATTAGTCAGATCTATGTTATAAAATGGAAAGCCAAGACTTCATTAAAATTGTAAACAAAGCAGCAAACAATCTTTGTTGGTAGATTAGAAGGTGATAGGCACCTCATAAATACATAGATGAGAGAAATTCATGATGATTAACTGGAAAGTAATTTTCTGAAGTAATTAAGTCATAAAAGCAAGCTATGCCACAACAAATAGAATTGCCTCTGTTAACAAGCTTTCTTGATATGAAGCTGATGCAGTCTTGTATGAAATCTACAGCACTTGGTTAAATTTGTGGTAAGCTTTCAATTCCTCAGTGTCATAGGTGTTTACTTCCCCTTATCCCAATGTAATTTTTTTCCATGAAAATACAGTTTATTTGCGAAGCAAGACATTTTTTAGGAAGACTTTCATAACATCTTTGTCAAAGGAAACCCTGTTTTCTACTGTTAACTATACTTATTATATTTTATTACTACGTAATTTAATAACCTAACATATGTTTAGCCATGTTATGATCTGTATCTCCTCTGAAACCAGATGATCAGCTTGTGGTATGCTAACATACTATAGCATGTTCCTTTATGAAATATACCAAATAAACATAACAGATCCTAACTGTGTTTTTAAGATCCATTTCCAATATAAAATGAAGCGTGGTGAAGTAGATTATTTAAAATGGTAGGTTTGTCAATCTTATCTAGTTGTCTTGCACTTTAACCCACATTTCTCCAGAAGTTAAAAATGATTAATGTCTAGTGGGATGTGGACAATCCATGGGAAAAGAGTATTTATTTTTTTTATGAAGTACTAATGTATTGCATTGCCTCGAGGAGGGCATGAAATATATCTGTTGATCTGGTCATCAGCTGCTGCTTGTCAGATTACAAAGGAATTTAGGGTGAGCCTGGTAAGCTGTCCTCCTGCTGTGTGAACATAAGGAAAAATCATTTTTTTAATCAGAAGAGGACTCCCAGTGAGTTCAAGAACTTATATGGAAAAGCACATACTTCTCAAAACGAACAATGAGTACAGGGCCAGATTGTGCTTGGCCTGTGTGGAAGGAAGCGGTATGAGCTCGGCTTCATGCACACAATATTCTTTGGAGCCTGTGGGAGCTCTGTTTTTAGTTTGCGGCCTGCAGATTTTAAAGGAGTTGAGACAAGGGAGATAGTTGAGTTCTAGACTCCACAGTCCACCATCACCCCAAGCAGATAACTTCAGGTAAGTGTATAAGAATCCATCTTGCTCTGCTACATTGTGCTATTGGCTGCATTCCTCCCCTTATGCAGGGCAATGGAAAATAAAAATCCTGCCTTTATAACTAATACTTGGTCAGAGACCTATCCCTTTTTCATCTGGATCATAAAGAAGATATAAATTGCCAGCCTGCAGAATTTAGGTGAACATCTCTCCTGACCTTTGGAGAGACAAACATCTATCCCAGAACTAAAACCCAGATGCAATATAACATCATTGGTCACCTTAGTAGCAGTTAGTAGAAATCTAGTGTCATTAAAAGGTACATTAAGTACCTAATACATGGTTAATTCATCTCAGTAATTATATCCTCAGAAAAAGCACTACAATAAAACTGGTAGTTTATCATGACTAACATCTGTCCCTTGTGTCTTATTTTCTCTTGATTAGAATAATTGTATGTAGTAAGATGTTTTGTTGTAATAAAGGGGTTTTTTTAAATGCATATGTACTGTTGCATATTCCTGGTGTTTTTGTTTGTTTGTAAGGGTCAAAGATGGGTGTCTTGCAATTGGGGTGGAAGGTGTGAGGTTTGTGATGGTCCTTAGAGCCTTTGGAGTCTATTTCACAGTCTAAGTGACTTTTGAATGAGTTCTGGACATGGACAGAAGTAGAAAACTTCTACTTCACCTTTGAAGTAGAAAACTATCATGACTGAGGAACAGATTTGTCAGACCTGATTGTCATCCTGCGACTTTACGTGACAAGGCCTGTGTAGGGAATTCAGTAACCACACAGTCCCAAGTTCTCCTCCAGTCCAGCCTCCTTCTCTAGGTTCTTTACTTGCAAGCATCCATTCTTCTGGCCACTGTACTGGTACTGGATTTTGCCACTAGAGCTAAGTTGCTCTGCCAGGCTCATTGTACCTGATCTCTAACATGAAGCATTGGCATGTGTTCCTCCCAGTAGCTTAGGTTGTGCATCTTTTTCACTGCTTTTTGTCCATGGCTGATTAGGGGTCCCATAAATAGGTGCTTGTCCTCACTTGAACAGAGGCTAGATTCCCCATTTCTGGTTCAACATGGTCCTCTTCCAATGGGAGATGGGCTGACAGCAGGAATTCAGAAATAGGATTGTCAGTTGTTGAGCAAACCCTGGCTCTAGGGCTGGAGAGCACACCTCTTTTTACAGGCGATGAGTATTTGTGGGGAAGCAAAGCTAGTCTTCATGTAGCTGCCCCATGAATTAGGGACTACTTGTTTTCCGCATCTGGGCATAAAGCTACAACCCTGCTCGCGGCTGACTGCCCTAGTAAGGCTGAAAGGAGCCCCATGAGGTCATCTATTCCAGCCCCATGCTTGACACAGGATCGTCTCTGACTAAACCTTCCCAGTCCAGTGTCCATCTAACCTGCTCTTAAGTGAACAAACTCCACCCAGGGTATAGACACGTCTAATGATTGAGAACCTTCACAACTATAACAAATGCACTTGTGACTAAATTAACTTCAGTGAGGTACTCACTGCAGCCTACAAGTGTAGATTTACTGGAAATTGTAGCCCTGAATCGCTTGTGGAAATACACCTTTAATACAGGGGTGGGCAATTATTTTGAGTGGAGGGCCACTTAATGAGGTTTGGCAGGTATGAAAGGCCACATAGGCAGTCTCACCACTTGACAGTTGCCCTGCCCCCTGGTCTCCATCTTGGGATCAGAAATCCTACACCTAACCCCTGGCCTTTGCCACTGGAAGTCCCTCCCCTTGCCTCCCAGACATTCCTTTGTTGGGAGGGGGCGGGGGTTGCCATCTTAGAACTAGAAAAAAAACAAATATGCTAAAAGTGAAAAACCTACTATAACATTTTAAGTTGATTTACAAAAGTGTTTTTGCCATGATTTGTGTTTGCTTAGTGTATATAGAGGTGATTGCATAATAACTCAAGAATAAATTCTTAGTCTTATATATTGTGTGTGTACACGTGTATGGTGGAGTGGAGGGGTTGTGAGGGTGTGGCTGTGTGCCAGCCAAGCTCTGCACTCCCCTGGGCACTGGCTCCATGCTGCTGCTAGCCCCAGCCCCAATCTCCACACTCCCACCCAGCTGCAGCTCTACCCATGCCCCCACCACTTTCCTACCTGCTTCCCAGAGCAAGCTGGATGCCAGGGAAGCTGAGCATGTCCCCAGTGGCAGCAGGAGCCTGCCTGGAAACTGCATGCTGGCCAGGCAGGACCCTTCCTCCCATGAGGGTGGGAGCAAGGTGCAATAGGGTATGTTGGGGTGTGTCCGTATGTGTAAGTGCTTCACTCCCAAACTCATGGGCAGAGCTTGGTGGGATGCAATTCTTTGTGGGGGAGCACTGTGGGCCAGATGTAAATGCCTGGCAGTCTGGATCCAGCTCACAGGCCCCTGCTTTACCAGAACCTGTACTGCTGAAAAAAGATTGCCATGAAAAGGAGTATTCTTTGTATGCAATGAAGCAGTAACAGTTTAATCCTAGGTTTAAAGTATCTAATGCAAATAAGTAACCCTTTTATTGTATTTATATGTAACAGATTGCATATATTGATTTTTTTTTTTTTTTTTTTTTTTTTTTTTTTTTTC